ATTGAGAGACCTAAACACATTGTTTATGTCATTTTGTTCCAATGAGGTTCGGATATATATTTCATTCCATTCCGAATATATGATACCAATAACAAAAGAAGTGTCACAATATAGAGAAAAGTCTATATATTTATTTCAAATTATATTGATACCAATCAAAAGATGACTATTAAATTGACGATGTGTAAAATTTTCAGAATTTTTTGATGACTGGTTTAAGAGAGAAACGTGTGTTCAAAAAGTTCACCATATCGATACACATCCTTTTCAAATCATTTTATTTATTAAACAAAGTCAAGATTCCAACATTTACAGGCTTCGGCATTTTATCCAATGAGAGCTTTTTGTTGCGAAATTTATGAGGGAAATGTGCGTAGAGTACGATATAAATGATTCTAAAAATAGTTTTAATGTCCTACCAGAACTTCCTCTGATGCCCTAGCAATACTTATCTTACTTTAAATAGGAAATCGATTTCACAAAATTACGCTCGTGCGTTCGACAGGTTCCTATAGACACACATCCTTTTTAATTCATAGACAAAACAAAGATACATCTCCATGACATTATAAACTCATAAATAAGTTATAGGATCACAGATAAGCATTCGCAATGAGAAGTAATAGTCTATGCTGTTACGATTGAATTGTCTTCATATTCTTTGTATACGGTCGAGTATTCTAATAGTTACGACTGGTGTTAAAATTGAGGCAGATGAAAACATTTAGAAATGTTAAGTAAGAAATTAAATGTTTACGCAGTGTCCGGTCGATAAATCGATCAGTCTACAAAAATGTTATGGGCTGTGAAAAGAACCCGCATGCAGAACATAAACAAAAACCAATATTCCCATGTTGTCTGCTATCCTCACCTGAAATTATCTCGTTATATTCATCGTCATGCTCCACATCTTCAACGAAGATGGCCAATAAATCAACATTGTCATTTTAGTTAAAGATTCTACATAAACGTTTGGCTTATTTTGAAAGCTTAAAATCATAATGGCCTAACTAAATAATAATCCTCAAAATTATTAATCCCTAGTGAGATTAAAACATTTCAAAATTGTCCACCTGAATTGGTCTAAATGTTACGATAAATCGAATCTAAACATGATGGGTTCTAACATGTGTGCACTAGGTCTATATGTACTAAAATTGAATAGGGCTAATCATAGTATACATCAATGTCGTCGTTACAATGCAAAAACTGGAAAATGATCAATGCTCAGCATGGTAATATATCGTCGAGAATCGTCCAGAATTACTGATGTTTTGTGCGAGTGTATACGGAGATGTAAAAGATTATAATACACGACGTCAACAAGTTCTTCTTATCATTTCAAAATAAAGAGAGTTTGGCAAACATACACCCTGTCCTTATATTGCATCGCATTTTTACTAAACCGAAAAAGTGACATGCGTTGCCCCGAATGACTTTAATGGTCCAAGAAAAATATAGACGAATACTAACAACTACAAAAAGATACGTCTAAAAGTACTATTACATGATTAAGTGAGATCGACAAGAACGAGTACAAGTAAACAATCAGATTAATCTTGAAATATAATATAAAAGAGAAGCCAAGATGACGTAAAAGGACAACGCATGTTTGTTCGAGTAATACGTTGTTTCTTATAACAGACCATAACAGACCATGTAAATATACGAAACGTCAAACAAATGAAATTCCTCTAAAATAACATACAACCCAAGAAATATATTACGCCAAACAACCTCGAAATGTCTTGCATTTACCTGCTTTCGATTATCATTTCTTAGCTAAAACCAATCATTGAAATGTGATCATTCATCTGCTAATATTTAAATATTCAATGTTTTCTTATTGTATTCATATTTGGTATTATACCACATGCATTCAAACGCGTATAATAAATTATGTAAAATGTTCAGTATAATATTCTGGAACTGTCTATTGACTATGCATTAGTAAAGTATAATTACATCCTGTTTCGGAATAACATATACTTAGCTTAGTTAAATTATAATGTAACGTCGGAACAGATTTTCATAAAAACATAAAATTACCTGATACGCCTTTAACTTGTCCATTGAAGCTTGCTTTAACGAAGAGGCATTTGGTGAGCTATCCGCGAATATTAACCCGCCATTTTGGAATAAGTTAAAATCTGCAATTCTGGCGCGAGATAATCCTGTACATATGTCTTCCTGTAATCAAACTACATGTTGTTTGCTTGTAACATCACGCCTGATCGAGAATGTCATAATGCGTAGGTTGTGACAACTTGTTTGTTCCCAATCAACTCTGCTCACATCGTTTTTTCCTTTATGAAATCGTGTTCCGTCACGACGACTAGTAAAAGAGATGGCAGCGCTACCTTGCTGGATCAACCTACGTATACCCTGTGTGTTCTACCTCTGATTCAAGCTCTTATTGATTTTTGCTAAATGTAATTTATGGGCTCTGTGGCACTGCTAGAATATATAAATATCACTACAAGCCCTCGCAGAGATATATACACAAAATAGCCGACACGCAATATCACTACGCTTAATCAGACGGCGTGCGTACAATCTCAATAATCGCATTTGAAGTACACTTTTATTGTGCGCATTCATTTCGCGCAGAAGCAACACTCCAACGCTGCATGGATATGTAATTAAAGGATATGACTTTACGCACAAGGGAGCAACTGTATTGTAGCATCCTTCCTATGAAGAACACAAGCCTGAAATTGTGTTTTGTGGAAGATGATAATGTCCAAGTTAATGAACATTTCGATCAATTGATCGAGATATGATATATCTATTGAAAATGATTATTACATAATGTGATCAATTTGAGATACAATGCTTTACAAAACAGAATTAGTTAATAGTGACTCGTAGTCTCGCACAAATGATTACACAACTTTAACATCAGTTGCTTTACAGTGGTTTTGTAATCAGTTTAGGGACCACATGATATTACAGTCATTCGAAGCCATTTAGGTTAAGTTCATGAAATTAAATTAAGGAAGACATCTGGCCATAATTTAGAGTATTTAGCATTCCTTCTAATTTTCCTCCGAGTTTTGTTTTGATCCTTTTTATTAAGTCAGAATCAGAGATAAAAAATGATAGAGTTGCAAGTAGTAGCATCTACAATTAATGTATTCTTTACCATCTCAAATATACGAGATAGGCTATATCGTATTTTCATCTCTCAAAACATCTAAGAAATCTAATCAAATGGAAAACGTATTTAAGATTCAAAGTGCAAATGGTACAATAATGTCATTTCGAAGGGCAATATAGTGAAATATTGGACCGGGGGCATAAGGCCCAAGGTCCAATATTATAAGTTATTAAATGATTTGAAGTGCAATACAGGATATATTCTGCTCGAGAAATTCCGTATTAGAACGAGACGAACATTCTATAACGTTTTTATCGTGTGATCCTCTGTATTCCTACTGAGAATGTCCCCTCCGTACCAATATTTTCTGTATTGCGACGGATATAATCAATGCGGACAATCTCAGTAACAATACAGATTGGTACAGCACAAGAACTGACCAATCAGAAGGCTTCATTTTACAGAACATAGTTAAGAAATATAAACCGAATAGCAGGGGTAATATCGTCGAATAAACACCGCAGGGCTAGGCACAAACGTTTACTGTAACCCGAACGACCGAAGGGAGTGAGGGGTTCGAAAGCTTTCTTGCCTAGCCGTAAAGGGTGTATTCGACGACATTACCCCTGCTCTGAGGTCTATATTACGATTCGAACATGAAAACTCGTCAAAATGTCTCGAATTTTCATTATGGTCCGCCATTACTACGGCCCGCCGTTATGACGTCTGATATCACCAGGGGCATTGTTCGCGAATATACCCCGGGTAAAATGTTGAATTTGTTCACTGTTTATATCTAAGGCGTGAATTAGTTATGTTCGAATGTGTGTTAATTTTCCCAAATGACAAATACGGAAATGTAAAGGTCCATATTTGTAAAAAATGAATACGATATATCAAAATTGTAAGCCTATCTGGAATAAGGGATTGACTGTGAGATTTTTTTTAATGAACATGGCAAGAAATATTATTAGCCAAAACTATTCTAATATTGAAATATTTTTATTATTAGATGTTTTCTACCTGTATATCGAAAAAAGTAATCAAAAGCTATTGATTTATAGACTTTTTAGCTAAAATGATATCTTTATATTCGAAAATGCATTCATAAAAATATTATATTGGACTGCACTGGTAACAGATTTGAGTATGAAGCAAAAAACAAAGCATTAATATGCGAAATGTCACCCCCTTTCATTAGTTACAGACGCCAAACGCTGACGCGAACCCATGAACGCCGAATGCCAAACGCCGAACAGCCTCTACCAAAAAGGCGATGATTATATCACCACTTTTGTTTGTGGCATATGACCTAGAATGATGAAAATCATCCCATTTGACCGTTATAAATAGCTTCAACATCCCCCGATCTGACGGCCCTGAGTTACATTATCTTTCTACAAGATTCGAGTACAGTGAATTTCAATGAGACTTGCTGTCTCATTTATGCCTGGGTCACAGATGCCCCGGTTTATCGGCCGGCGCCCGGCTGATTGAGTATTTTGTTCAAAATTGCATTCAGTTTTGAATGTAATACTCATCGGCCGGGTGCCGTTGTGAAAATTCGAGCAAATGTGACCAAGGCATTACGAAGATAGCTTAGATAGTTCTTCAGATTATTATTAGATGTCGCGTCTGCATGGGCTCGAGTTCATTCAAATCATAATTACACTTTTTCGATGGATTACATTTCAGTTACACATTTGTGATCAAAAACAAATTATTAAAGTATCTTACCTATGTTAGCCAGGCATTTTCTTTGTAAAAGGTCTTCCCCTGGCTTTCGAAATATCAACGTTGTGCCCTTTTCAGAAGAAATTGCCATTCCACAACCAGGAAAGGTGTGGCAATGGATGGTATTACCATGCCACATCTAGCAATACAATGCTTTTAAGCAACCATGATAAACGGAGCAATTCCACTCTATCCGAAGAGGTGGACGAGGCACCCGACGAGGCAATTTTATTACGCAACCAGGAGAGAGATGCTATGCAAAGGACCACTTGGAGTGAGAGACCAAGCAATGCTACCGGAAAGATCGACCAATAATATTACACAACAAGGTGATGTAAATGCTTTTCCACAAGAACTTTGCTAAAACGGTTATCAAAAATGTTTGTTTCATTACTTATTCAGATTGTGTGGAGACAGACCTTCTAAATACGAATAGATGTCATATTGGCATACATGTACTGTAGGTTGCCAGTAATACGCCGTATAATAAACATCCCTAAACCATAAGTTACAAGATTGAATTCGCTGGCCTCACTTTACAAACAAAATGTTCGATTTGCGCACAAAGTGAAAAATGGCGATTGTTTAATTTTGAATTTCGTAATCACGACATACTTTAAAATCGGGCTTATATCTGTTCAAGGTTTTGTTTAATACCAGGGGCTTGGTATGTGTACCGAACGAAACGTAATAAATTCGAGATTGCATTCTGGGAGCCAATCATCCTTGTTATTTTCAGGTGCTAGGACATTAATAATTGACACCTCTACCCATCCATATAAAGATACCACGGGCGATTAATTATTGATAATCGATGGGAATTTAAGATAACAGCCAGATAACAGCATTTAAAAATCGTCTGCTGTAATTATCGCCAAGGATTACGACATGATAATGACTTTATGAAATGCGCTAAGATTATCGATAATGCTACATGCATTGTCGGATTGTTTCAATTGTTTTTCTATAACCATTGCATTTTCTTTACGGGGTAGGAAGGAGCATCCTAATTTATCGACGTTAAGATATTTTACCATTTTGAGATGACCCCTCACATAGACAGGTGAACGTCTAAGACAGGTTAAGGTAAGGTAGTAGTTAAAAGTCAATTACATGTATATTTGTTGTAAAAAGTCTAGATTACAACCAGACCTATTGTATTCAAGTACTTTACCCGCAGTCGTGTTGGTAAATGATTTTACAAAGTGATGTAAAACATCTGTAAATGCAACCTCGTTTTTCTTTTATTTTAAAATATTACGACCTTTTTAGCATGGAGATGGACCGTGTTTTGGTGATTCGTTCATGATTCTTGATAATTTTGCAAACAGAAGGAGTCGATCAAACTTCAACATTCACATTTTAGAACAGTGGATGGCGGGTCCAGATACTAACAAGGAGGGGGGGGGGCAAATTGTGCGAAAAAATTGTTGGGCCCCTAAAACCCAAATCTAATGATCTGAGTACATCACTGCACATACCTACACTAACATTTACTAATGAGTTAATCAAGCAAACTTTTTTTAAGTCAAATACTTGATTGCTGTAATCGGATTCCATTAAAGAAACACATGTGTTTTAACCACAGAAGCTGTTAGAACCCCAGGTAATGTATGTCTTTCCCATAACAAAAACACCAAACATACATTTGTTCTATAACATGTAGCATTTGTTAGTTTACAATCGCAGTGAAACCTGTCTGTTGGGATAGTACGCCTGGTCATTCAATCAAGTGCACGTTTTACTACATACGCTCTATATCTTGAGTAGGTTTTGAAAGGGTCCACTCAAAGATAAAACAATGAATTCGAAGCTAAGCTGAACTTAAAATTCTAAAACGTAAGGAATATGAAGTTGATTTTAAAATCTGAAGTTTTGCTACTTTTGCTATACTTTTTCCAATTTATTCAGGGTAGAAATCCTGCATTGGTAACAATATTATTGGATGGATATCGATACGATTATCTCGAAAAGGCCAAAGAATTGGACTTAACCGGATTCGGTGCTATATTAGACAATGGTGTGAAGGCGGACTACTTGATACCAACATATCCAACAGAATCTTATCCAAACTACTACAGTCTGATGACAGGTACACAATCATACACTTTACAATTATACAATATACAATTATACAATGTACATTTATTGGACAATGACTATTATTAACGGGTTCAAGTCCTACATACTTCTTAGTAGTACATATACTGTTAGTATTCAGATCAGCTACATTTACATATATTTACGTATCGAATCGTATTATTGTATTGTATTGTATTGTATTGTATCTTGATTTATTGGACCAGAATCTCACAAAGATGTTAAAGAAATGGGCATAGCTGATAAACAGCTGGGAATCCATACCATGTGCAGTTCAATGAGTATTGCCCATTAGCGAAAAACTCATTGTACAGACATCTTGCTTGAGCCTAATTTGTTAAGTGTACAGCGGTAGATGCTTCTTTCAAAATAGCGAAATCAAACTTTTAGAAGCCTAAGGTAGAACTTCAGTGTCGACCGAGGTTTTTTGTATGATTCAGATTTTATCATATACAGGTACATGTATTTCAGATTTTAAATCATCACACTATGAATGCTTGTACTATTTATAATTTTAGGACTTTATTGTGAATCACATGGTATGATTGGAAACTATATGTACGATGAGATACACAATACATCATTTCTTATCGGGACAAACCCTGAGCAGAATGCCTCCTATTTCTGGGACGACGGCGACCCTCTGTGGATCACTGCCAAACGACAGGTAATCCCAATAAATGTGAAGAGTAAAAAAAGAATGAGAAAAATTTGACTTAAAACCTGAAAAATAATAATGATTCGAACATGACTGTATTCACGCCTTCTATAAACTGTAAACAAAGTCAACATTTCACCCGGGGTATATTCGCGAAGAAAACCCCTAGTAATACGTGTAATGTGTGACGTCATAACGGCTGGCCGTAGTAATGGCGGACCATAGAATATTCGAAACATTTTGGCGAGTTTTAATGTTCGAATCGTAATATAGACCTCAGAGCAGGGGTAATATCGTCGAATACACCCCTTAGGGACAGGCACAAAAGCTCTCGAACCCCTCACTCCCTTCGGTCGTACAGGGCACAGAAAACGTTTGTGCCTAGCCTTGCGGGTGTATTCGACAATATACCCCTGCTCCTCGGTCTATATTTCTTAAATAATCACTATCCCATGGATACATTTGAAGATTTTCTCAAAAGCAACAATTAAAAAATTAAAACACTGTACAATTTTACTACCCCTGGGTGAGTTATATAATTTTCCGAAGAACGGCATTGAATGGGCCACAAGTATGTTAATATAATTAACAATAATTAAATTAAATGTAATATAATTTTGATTTACATGAAAGGGGTTAAAATCAGTGATGCACTACTGGCCAGGGTGCGAAGTAGAGATAAGAGGGTTAAGACCAGACTACTGCGCTCCCTATAACGGGGTTCCAAACAAGACAATGATGGAGATAGCCATTGACAGAACTGTCGAGGAACTATCAAATGGGGTTGCATATGCAGGTAGATAGGTGTACTTATTACTTTACAATGTAGAATTATTAGGGATATATTGTTTTCATAATTGGGAGTTTAAGCTTGCAATGTTTTTCGCAACCTAAACGTGAACGGAAAATATTTAAGTGATGCATTTGTATGGGCGATTGGTCATACGTATAGGTTGGCGTTTCGATTTTATATGCAAGCTTACACTCCCTATTATGCCTCATATTCGGGAATTAAATGAATAATACTACTAATCTGTTATACATTTGTATTCCTTACATCTTCAAAGTATAAAGTAAAGAATCAAGATGTACTTTTTGAAATTCATATGCAAGGGATCATCTTGTACTTCAATCTTCCAAAGGTATTTACTACGAGGCATCGGACAAGAAAGGCCACATCTATGGTCCGGATAGTCCAGTGATTCTGAATGTCACGAGGGAGGTTGATGACCTCTTGCTTCAGCTACATAATAAACTCGAAGACAACAATCTCATAGACTCCACTAATATCATGATCTTCTCTGACCATGGTATGGTGGCCATAGATCCTTTACAGAGAGTGCTGAATGTCTCCGTCAATATGGAGAACATCGAAAGAAGCTTTAAGAGTTCTATATACTCACAGATATGGCCGAAGGAGAACATGACCTCAAAGGTACATAGATATTTTTCACATTATTCAGATAATGTTTTTAAAAAACCTTTTTTGAAATATTCAAGTAATACTTTGTGTTGGCTAACCGACGTTAACCGACGGCTAAACCTTCAGTAAACCGACCAATGTTTTTGGCTGTAAATTGACAACACTAGTAAACATACATCATAAATGCTATTGTACAGGAAAATATAATTTACCCCCTCCCTCGTTTAAGCAGGTTAGGTTGGTTAGCTTATATACTTATTTTGTTTAAGTTGTTTTCTAGAATTTTCTTTGGATGTTTCTTTTATATAGCGATGACCATGACAAAATTTAAACAAAGTTTTAAATGACCTCGTTGACTTTTATATTATATCTTTTCATTCATATCATTCCATGTTGCGATTAACAATCAACGAATAAAACAATGCAGAGAAAGGTTTATAGAATTTCCATTACAATATTTAGGTGTATGATGAACTAATCGCTCTTAAAGACACGTTAGGACACTTTAATGTGTACCTGAAGGCAGACTTACCCGAGAGATGGCACTTGAAGAACCACTATAGAGTGGCACCTATTGTATTGCTACCTGATGAGGGATACATCATACAGGTACGGGGACTGTACATCAAATCTACATCTTGTCATTTTTGTCCTTTTAATGAGCCTGTATTGTGTTCAATTATTGACAGATATATAAGGGTTTTGTTCTGGGAGGTTTTGGATATGGGGTTTATCCCAAGGGACATATTTGTATCTCTATCGTTATTTTGTAAATTGAGTAAAACGTAAATTGAGTTCGTTTTTCAGGAGCTGGACCGGGATGGATACACGCTGTGTCCATCCCGGTGTAAAAGGGTAGGTGGTCCTATCAAATTTTGGTCCTACTCTCCATTGATGAACAAGGTGACCTAATTACAATTATTTTCATCATTATTTATACAGGGCCAGTAAGGGCCGTAAGGAAAGGGGACCATAATCCCCAGGGGACCATAATTTCTTTCACACCGGTCCCGGGCCTAGGAGATAGCTCCCTAGATACACTATATATTTCCGCTCGCTGTGTACCTAGAACCCCAGTAGGCATGGAATACAACGAGTTAAAGTTAAATAATTGTTCTACCAGTAGTCAATTGCATACCTGCCAACCTCTCAGAGAAAAAAAACAGGAGTTTTTTTTAAAAAAAACAGGAGAATCCAGGAGATATTTTGCAAAAAACAGGAGAAAAACAGGAGACTTTTACTGAAAAAACAGGAGAAAACAGGAGACTTCTTTTAAAAAACAGGAGAAAACAGGAGGTTTCTTTTAGAAAACAAGTTACCATCTAAAAAACAGGAGAAAACGAGAGACTTTCAGTCTAAAAAGGAGATTTTCTTTAAAAAACAGGAGAAAACAGGAGACTTCTTTTAAAAAACAGGAGAAAACAGGAGGTTTCTTTTAGAAAACAAGTTACCATCTAAAAACAGGAGAAAACAAGAGACTTTCAGTCTAAACAGGAGATTTTCTTTAAAAAACAGGAGAAAACAGGAGACTTCTTTTAAAACAGGAGGTTTCTTTTAGAAAACAAGTTATCATCTAATAAAAAACAGGGGAAAACAGGAGATTTTCAGTCTAAACAGGAGATTTTCTTTAAAAACAGGAGAAAACGATTTATTTTAAAAGCATGAGAAAACAGATTATCTTTAAAAACAGGAGAAAACAGGGTATTTTCTTTTAAAACAGGAGAAAACAGGATATTTTCCTTAAAAACAAGGGAAAAAAGGATATTTTCTTTAAAAACAGTTGCATCCTGGGAGCCAATCCTCCTTGGTCCAGGATGGAAAAACCAAAAAGCTTACCGTAAATGTGACTGATAAATCTCAATCTTTGACAAACTTCAATGGTAAAACCACTCAAACTTATTTAACATGATTTCTCTTAATGTTTATACATGCTTAATCTTGGTAGGCTTACGCAATCGTGCATAAATAGACAAAATTATTCTTAACCCGTTTAAACTTGCGCAGATTCTTATCGCCTCGACTCAGGAGATTATCTACGGATACGCATGCGCTAGGGTCGTAATAAAGGATGGATTCGCTCTCTTACTGATTAAAATTGTTGCGCGTGCGCTAATTTCCTTGTTGTTGATTGGACATTTATATTAGATTAACTTTGTTTTTCATGACTAGATGTCGCTGGAGTTAATTGACTTATATGTAAGATACTGGAGACGATCGATGAGTACTCGGATTCAAGTTAAAAATCGGGAGGTAGGAGGAAAAAACGGGAGGACACAGACAAAATCGGGGGATTTTTACCTAAAACATGCGAAGTTTTTTGTAGAAATCGGGAGAAAAAATCAGGAGATGATGAAAAATTACAAAATTAGAAAATCGGGAGATGGCAAAATTGCGCAGGAGATGGGTTAAAAAAACAGGAATCTCCCGATTTAAATCGGGAGTTGGCAACTGTGCAATTGAAGTAGTTTACACTTACTTGCTTCTTGCTACTTGAGACTTCTTCAAACGTACTGTAGTATATTTGTGCATGTTTAATATAAAATTAATTTTGGACAAAAAGTTCTGTATTAGGGGTTTCTACTTCTACAAGGATTGTATGCAGTATTACTTTTAAAATAAAATAAAATTGTTTTAATTAGTGACCTTTTTTGAAAGAAGAGCAAATGGACATGGGCTTTTGTGTAAAATGTTTGTTAATTTTGCTGGATATTGACGCATACCGTACATACTCGTAAATATGCTCTAATCTGCTCTTTTGGTGATGGTATAAGTTCAAAACATTTCATGGATTAATTCCCTTGAACTTAAGGTGTATTTCTTTATGTTGAGCTCCTCTTATTGTGATGAGATATGCATATATTTTATGCAACGCATTCCTGTGGTTAATTCCATTGAACTGTATTTCTATTTCAGCTTCCGGACGCCAAGGTAAATACAAACTTAGGCGGACATGGATACGACAATAATGTACGAGACATGAGAGCCACCTTTATTATAAGTGGACCTGGTAAGGCAAATAAAGCTGCTTTTCATTATAGTGTTTTTAAAATTTGTTTCCGAAATATTTTTTATTAATAACTGTTTTTTAAAGCTAAGAGATGCTCATGCAAGAGCTGGAATATCTATTTTTCGAGTTTCATATATGTTCGGATGATTTTTATGTTAGATGGTAGCTTTGTCCATACTCTATATATTTCAGTACTTTTCCCTAAATTTTTTATTTTTTGGATTGGATGTTATTTTGTTTTACTTTATCTTGAATTGAAGGTGTCAAAAAGAAATCAACCCATAAAGCGATCAGCGCTGTGGAACTGTACCAGTTAATGTGCCACATCTTGAACATCGATGCGTCTCCACACAACGGCACCTGGGCAAATGTGAAAGGAATGTTAACCCAGGCATCGGGAGCCCACACATTTTTGTTCTGCAATACGATGACATTAACAATGATCATATGGACAACAATGGAGTTCCTCTATCATTATTTATAGCGACCCAACTTCAAATAAATACAGGTTGGGGCATAGGTAACACAAACAAATCTTAATTACTCACTACTCAGTCATCCGTTTGTTTGGGTTACCTTTTTTCTCACCATGTTTACGTAAGACCTAGTCTTGTTAAAAGTTCTGTGTAGTAGTCCAATTTGAATAATGGCAAAGATGGAAGCCAGATTTTTCACACACAAAATAGCATAATTTTGAAGTCATTCATATGTTCATAAAACTAAATGAGCCAGTGCCGTGGAGAATAAGACTTGATTTTTGATAATTTATGATGGCGATACATATATACATGTATACTCGTACATACTCGAATATACGAAAAAGGAATAAACTAGTTTGTAAGATAGATATATTTAAATATATGTTTAACAATGCATTTAACTGTATGAGTATAACTGTATAATTATGTCTTGTAATTGATTCTGTGAGAAAGTCAATTGTTTTGGCTTGAAATATAATAAAATTTTGAATCAACATGTACAAAATCGTTCCTATTTTCGAGAAGTATTTAAGATCAACGCTCGATATTTGTATCAAGATCAACACTGACTATTTTAATTTTCTACGTATACATGTATCATTTCAAGCAAGAGTCGAATCGTATCAATTTTCGACCTACTATTGCAATAGCGAACCGACTCCGAAGACTAGGGATCGATACTGAAGTTTTAGGATTTCCAAATTATCGACAACATGTAGGAATTGATGAGTGGCAACAAACGGCGAGTCACTTTGTGTTCGATATGCGTAACGGCACGGGGCCTGGTTGGAGTGTTAACTTTGACGACCTCAGGTCCATCACGGGAACTGTAGCAAAGAAAATATTTGAACGATATTCAAATGAACAGGCGAATGAATATAAGAGTACAAAACAATACTTTAACAGTAATTATTAAAGTTAAATAAAAACAAATTAATCAACTAATATCATTCTTTGCAGGTTCATTATTTAATTATATATTTAAGAATATAAGAAGTATATATACATCGGCAAAGCTATAATCAAAGGAGTAATAATCGAGCAACCCCATAAAACAAGATGGAGTTTGACAATATGCCGATGGCATGTAGATTTGATGTTTTGAGAATTGCGAGCAGTTGATCTCTCTTTTCCATGTAGTTAATTGTTGTTATCTAGGATGTCATCTTTCATAAAGCATACTGATCACCAATCATCGATAGCATTTTCATTTTTTAACTCCATTATATGGAATATAATATGCTATTGCTTCTCCTGTATCACATTTATTCCGTATAAATTGGTTTTTATTGACAAATTATCTTTACAGGATGTAGCTGAAAACACATGGATGGAATTTTATAACCACTTACATACTAGACATTATGTGATGCAGATTCTCAGAGTTCTAGATATGACACATGCCAGAGTTTATTGAGGCTATAACTGTAATTGATCATGTACTTGATTACATCCTAATTTTGAATAAATGTATATTTTATACATACAAATTAAGAATATATTAGTTATGCAAGTGTGGAGAAAGCGTTAAAAAACAGAGCCTCTATGCACAATCTTAAATTGGAACTCAATCAAAAGGTAAGAACTTGTGAAGCAGTTTAAAATTCAGTATGATGAATAGTGTCTAATTTTCTATATTACTTTTAACGAATCACATATGTATCCTTTTGCCAATTATCTTTTTAATTTCTGATGATAGCGTTAATTAGAATCAGTATTCATGTAATAATAAATGTATAACTTTATATTTATGATTATCAAATTCAAAGTTGCATGAAGAAGATGAAGAAAGATTTTGCTACAGTATCTTCTTTCTTTTGTTATTTTTTATTCAATCTTGTATATTCATCCGATGTATACTAATATAATGGGGATAACGACACGATAATTTGGGTATGCGCCACTAAAATCGTATCCGATTCATATGGGGTCTTCAAAATAGTATCCGTGGGGTACGATTTTTCATTAGTTTTGAATTTGGCGCCAATTAACCACTTGTCTGTTTGATCTGCAATAGTTCCATGATTCTGTGCTCAGTAAAAATGAAGTGAATTTCTTCATGCAATCATTTTGTACAAATAAGTTCACGGAAAGTAAAACGAAAACATTAGAAAAGAATCAGAGAACAACATCGTTTAGGTCAAATTAGTTTAAGTCCATACAAGAATAGCAACCATGGGATAAATATGATATCCTATGATCTTCTCGGGCTATCATTTTTATCTACTCGTGGGTATCGCCGATCTCCACTCATTTGCTGCGCTCACTCATTGAGATGGGCGATATCCACTCATGGATAAATGACATCCCTCAAAAATATATAGAGATTATCCTATATGAGGTTCAGGATATTGGGATTATCCCGAGGCCAATATAATATATCTGCCCGAGGGACGTAGGTCCCGAGGGTATATATATTATATTGGCCAAGGGATAATCCCAATATCCTGAACCGACTATAGGATGATCTGTTTATCCCATACCAATCACATTGTTCAATTGGCCAAAGTTCAGAAACTTTGCAACCAACCGTGGAATTATTTTAAAATATTCATGTCCAGTTTTGTATTCTTGTCCGTAGCCGGATTTTCCTGTTCAAATCTTTGATTATTAACGGGGCATACTGCTCCTTCCCTTCCTAAAGTATCAAACAGATCGCGATTGTCTGCGTTTTTCTCCATTGTCGTTTACAGTATGCGAACGTTACAAAAAAGAACCAATACGGGAACATCGATTATGACGCAGCGGGCAGATATACTATATCTGCCCGCTCAGAGCGGGACGTAAAGCTATATCTGCCCGCTGATGAAAATATAAGTTTTTACAAACCGGCTTTATGTACCCGTAACACGTCTAAGTATGGGATAAATCTATTTATTATAGCTGATAATAAATGAAGTAATTATGCTATGCTTTATCATTCACTGACATTTAAAGAAAATGATTTTTCAATGGATTTTTTTCTTACTTAAGAGCTTACCTCAAGATGAAGATCGTGTGTGTATTACTTTCCCTTGTGGCTCATATGGTGACAGTTCATGGGGATGTCGAAATCTTTGACTATGCCAGACTGTTTGGGTTGAGCAATAAAACGGAAGAGCAAAAATGTAAGTAAAATTAAGGCCGGTGTGAAAGAAATGATGGTCCCCCAGGGATTATGGCCCCCTTTCTTAACGGCCCTTACTGGCCCTGATTGTGTATAAGAAAATGAGGGAAAGAGTTGTATTTAGGTAACCATATAAATCAATGGAGAGTAGGACCATAATTTGATAGGACCTCCTAGTGCCCTTTTACACCGGAGGTGGAGATAGTATTTACGCATATTCGCTCATCCATGCATCAGCAAACTAAGTAATACACATTGGCACCCTTGATCATCAATGAGAATCACAAAAAGAAGATATGAGGAATTGTTGACGAATCTTTTAATTTGTGCTTTTTAATTCAATAATCGGTCTACTGTACGTTACCCTTGCTTCGGACAATTGTGATATTTTTACATCTTGTAGATTTAAATGTCCTCTTTTGAATATTCATTATTTAATTTGGGTGATATTTCTATATTTTTCATAAAAATCAGCCCAGGAGACTGTTCTGCAAACCGAGACCTGTCCTTTCGAGAAAATCCGACGAGCGGTTTTTCTGAAATGGTGAAAGTTAATAGGAAAACCTTTAAAATTGCCGCCAGAAAACAAGATGGCCGCCAATCAGCTCTAGAACTTAAAATACTCTTACACGTCGCACGAAACTGGGGACAATTAGAGTAACATTATGGCGTCAAAATACCAAAACAATACAATGGCCAGTATAGGGCGCAATCAGCATTATAACGTCAAAAACGACAAGCGTTACATTTTGTCAAGTTTAGTCAACCTAAAAATAAGATGCTTTATTCTTATTCAATCCTGGTGAAATTCACAGAGCAAGAAGATCTCGAGGACAATATTTCTAAAATGTTTTTGATTTTTGAAAAACGGTCAGGAAATTCACTCGGGGCGTTAGTAAAAATTGATATGTATGGTATTTGTGGTAAAAAATCGATGCGTTACATTTTTTCAAGTCTCTAAAAGCAACTCTTATTCTCTTACTATTTGAAAAATAAAGAAATCGGTTATTGTTTTGTAAATTTCGCCATGACAATATTGTGCAGTTAAATTTTTTTTGAAATCAGACCTAAATTAGAAGGTTAAATAAAGGTGAACTTATTGCTTGTCTCCCTCGCCTTCAAAACCTTACACAATTTTGAAAATCTTAAAAGCGTTCATATAAGACGATTTGAACTGTAGCCGCTAGGCAATTGTGACGTCATAAAAGCACATGTTTCAATGAATAAAATATGAAATTTTAGTAAAATTCTGATCAGTATTTCAAAAGTTATCCTGATTTCAACGAACCGTGTAAGCGTGAAATGTTACGCCTTACAGCGTATTTGACGATGTCGGAGTACATTTAACTTAAAAAATATGGTAGATCCCATCACACTTTTCAAGGAAAAATAATTTCAGTGAAATGCGAATAAAAAATACTTCAAAATGATATATAATGCATATAGTTAGCTTTTTAAATAAGGCAGATATTAACGATTAAAGCTGAGATTAGCCCGTATTTCCCGAATTGTCCCCAGGTCCGTGCACGTCATATCTATCATTCGTGCGAATTTGGAGAAAATCCGATGAGCGGTTTTCCTAAAATGGCGATAACAAGATTTATCGAAAAACTTACAAAATGGCCGCCGAAAATAAGATTACCGTCCAAAAGTTAATTAGCTCTAGAACTTGATATCCTCTATCATATGTAAAAGTTAAATCACAGTGTTAAAATGTTCGAACGAAAATGGGTCAGCTGTTCGAACTTTTTAACCCTGTGATTTAACTTTTGGATAAAAATTGAATGAAGTGTTCTTTGGAATTTTTATTTTCAATCTTTTTGAATGCTGAAAATTGAACATCGAAGCTACCGTTGATCTTGCACTGATTTTTTCAGTGTTTGATATCTTGGTTTTTGGTGTTTAGGTTATGTTTTTCGTTTTTTAAGATGGATTTTTAAACAAACATTACTAAAACTGAACTAGAAGTTCGAAAGGTTGAATTGAAAATTGCAATATCAAACAAGAAATATGATTTATCAAACAAAGCATTGAAAAGATTGAATAAAAAATTGAAAGTTTGAATTGGAAAATGAAAACTCAATCAAGAAAATTAAATATTAAATTGAAAAAATCGAATAAAGAAGCTATTAAGAAATGCCACCAGGTCTACATAATTTAGGTTTTCACATTTCATTTCGTTCTACAAAAATTATGCATTACAACTTGGATATTTTGGAATGGCATATGACATGAGTGCATTTACTCTAAATTTTAAACTGATCAATAACTGGTGAATAAAAATACTTTTATTCTAGACATGTGCGTAGATATTGTGTTTGCAATTGACATCTCCTGTAGTGTCAAAAACATTGACAAAAAGAAGATGGTGACAATTGTGGAAAATGTAGTGAAAGGAGCGAAAGTAAACGAAAAGATTACAAGAGTAAGTTTGGTATACGTTAAGAACAATTAACAATTAGTGTCTTCACGTATATACTGTAGCCTATTATCTTGTTAAACAAGCATCTAAACCCTCACTCTCTATTGATTAAAATTATATTAAACATCAGTAACACATCGTAATCAATCCGAAATGCATGGAGCTCATTCCTAATTGCAATGTTGCTGATTGATTGTTACTCTTCGTGGGGAGAGATTGCAATCTTCTTCCTATGCATTTCTGTAACAGCATTTCTATGTTATTTCGTTTTATAGTTTGAACTCGTACCTCCTTCGTCCTTTTCTGAAAGAAGGAGGTAAGAGTTATGGAGGCCCGTGTTCTGAGGATGATACACTGTAACAGTCTACTGCTTATCTTGTTGAATACACTTTAAAGCTCTGAGCCCTCGCTCTGAATTACAAAAGTAACGTCAGTAACATATCGTAGTCAATCCGAAATGCATGGAGCTCATTCCTTATATTGCAATGTTGTTGATTGATTGCTACTCTTCATGGGGAGAGATTGCAATCTTCTTCTTATGTATTTCTGCTACAGCATTTTTTATGTTAGTTGGTTTATAGTTTGACAGTGTTTTGAACGTGGGTCCATAGAGCGTGGGTATACTATAACTGTTGTACAGCTTTGTTGCTACTAAAGGCGAGAGGCCACGTATCTTGCACCATCCATGATCAAAGAGTTAGAAAGGGGTTTTCCATGTACAATGCTCTTTTAACCTGTATTAAGTATTCAATGTGGAGAGAGTGGCGAGGGAGGGGGGTTGTTACCAGATGTTTATACGATAATTGCCGTTGAAAATTAGTACCATTAGTTCACGCCACACATTTATCGAAGTGCAATGTGTAATGATTAATTTTTTCTTTTCTTCAGTTTGGCCTTGTATTATTTGATAACGGAGCAAGGAAAGAATTTGGCCTGAACAATAATTTTGGCAATGCAGATGAAATTCTCGGATTGTTGGCAGACCTTAAAACCAATATTAAAGACAAAAAAGAAGGATGTAAGACGCACACATGGAAAGCCTTGGAACTAGTGCGAACTGACGAGGACTTACTTGGCAGCGTATCAAGATATGACACAGAAACTGGGAGGGAACGGAAGAGAGTGTTGATCCTCATGACAGACGGGGTGCCATTTGATAACAAACGCGTGGGTTGACCTCGTTTTATTCAAACCAAGGCATTAACGGAATTCTAATTCGTATTGACCCTTTGTTTGCATTGGAAATATATAAATATGTATTATATTGTCGTAACGAGCAAATGATTAATATTTTCTAGAACGTAGATGAAATGGCTGATCTCACCAAAGAAATGGGTAGACTTAATGACTTAGCGAATATAACAACATTTGTTGTACACGTTCCCAGGGATGGTGTTCTGGAGCCTATTCCTCTCTTGGAAGACCTTGTTTCCTCAATGAGATGGCTGCATGAGGTAGGCGCCAGCACAGATTTGGAAGATGTTGGACGGTATTTCTTCCATCAGTTGGTAAAGATTAGCGGATGCGATTGTGAGTATATTTATGACTCCACAATTCATGGCTTTTTGGATAATTTTGTCTCATTCCAGCAATAAATAATAATAAAAACAATTGTAGAATGATTAAATTATTTATTACGAATATTTAACAGATAGATGTACTACAAAAATTGATATTTGCTTCGTGATGGACCGCAGCGACAGTATTGAAATTGAGAATATTAAGTTAACAAAAGACTTCCTCAAAGACTTGGGTGATTCTTTCCTTGTTACATATGATAAATCAAACAAAAAATTTACCAGCGCTATGATTGGCGTGACTAGCTACAACCAGGACGTCTATCAACATTCACTGGGAGTCGAATGTAAGGACAATGCATGCGTCCGTGATGTTATTAGTGCAATACCTGACGAACACAAGAAATATACAGAGACTTATGATGCTCTTGCAAATGTTGCATCACAGTGTTTGAAAGTCCCAAGGGGGCCCGGTATTCACAGGGTGGCTATTTTAGCTACAGATGGAAACACATGGAAAGAAGGATCAAATCGTATCAATTCTCGCCCTACTATTGCAATAGCAAACCGACTCCGAAGAATGGGGATCGATATTGAAGTCATCGGAGTTCCAAATTATCGAGAAGTTGTTGGAATCGATGAGTGGCAAAAAACAGCGAGTCACTTTGTGTTCGATATGCGTAACGGCACGGGGCCTGGTTGGAGTGTTAGTTTTGAGGACCTCAAGTCCATCACGGGAACTGTAGCAAGGAAAATATGTGAACAATATTCTGATGAACAGGCTAACGAAGTATAAGAGTGACCAATTCTAATTCTAAAGTTAATTCAAACATATCAAGTGTGTTTCATATGAATATTAATTGTAACTCAATACCCCTATTTAGTATTTCTAAGACATAATTGTATGACCTTTACATCAATAAACACCCCCAAACCAATGATGGACTTGTAAGACACACTTGGAATGTTTGAATTCTATATATTTATAACTCAGTGTCTATTTCATGTATTTATTTATTTTCATTTAGATTAATAAATCCAAAGTTTCATTTGTAATCTCAATAAATGTTTTTTCTGATGTACTCCATCATTGACCGGGGGAGGGTCATGTTTGAATATAAATAAAGAATTCTGTAGCATTCTATATCGTAGCGTTAAAGGCATTCGTGCATGTCCGTTCTGATAATGCACCCAGGCTTCGTCCTAATTTATTATGTGTATGGCCTGGGTTAGTGCATGCGATCATGCTTTTAGATATGCAATATAGAATTATTCCTTATATAAAGAACAAATTAATCAACCAGTCACAGTTAAACTTTGTTATTTTAAAAGAAGAAATGCCATTTATAATGTAAATTGAATTAAACTGCATGTATGTGTCTAAGAAATTCATGCTAGTATTTTTAAAATTGTTTGTTATGAATCTAATTGTAATTTTTAACATTAGTGGTTGATAAGCCCAAGTGGGCTGGGTTGCTTTTTATTACTTTTCTTTTGTATTGTATTGTATTGTATTGTATTGTATTGAACCTACCACTGTAAATAACAATAAAACTAAACTAAACTAAACTATATTTTGCATATTTACTAATATTTAAACTTATAGAGAAGTAGCAAAGTTCTCACTCATATTAAAATTATTGAAAATGTTCAAAGAATTAGAAAGCCCTATTCAAATAAAAAGATCTGTCTGTTGAAGTTACCAGAGATCAAAAAGAAGTATGTGAGGTATTACAAATCAGTTGGAGTAAAGGATTGGTATCGATATGGCGAACTGAATCAACATTGTTTTTCTTTTAAATCAATTATTCATAACAATACCAGTCTTTTGGTGAGGCGCATCGCAATAAAGACTCAAGTCCCACCAATCTTGAACTCAGAATGAAGATCATGGAGAAAGAGGCTGGGACTAACGATCTTGGTATTTTTAAGCTTGACAAGAAAATATCTAAGAACAAATGCCAAAGTGAAAGGACCAAAAACTGTGAATAATCCTTGCAAGAAAAGCAAACTCTAAGGGTAGTCATAGGAAAAATAGACCCTATATCTCAAAACCTTGATCAGGCGTGAAAAAAGAATTAGTCCTCTTTCCCTTCCAATCGAGAAGCAACATCACAATCCAGGACCAGAGCACCAAGGCCAAGGGGTATTTCATTCATACTGAAAAATTAATAGCTAATCCTAATAACATCAAAAATAGTTGTCGGGTAACAATACTAATGAATGAAAGAGCATTTAGTCTCTAATGATGTGGGATAGATAGTAATTTGCCCGATAACGTAAATCTTTAAACAATGGTAAAATAGTAGAGAAGACCACATTGCATAGAGGACTGCCACTAGTCTTGAGCCAATGTCTAGCATAGTTTTCCCCTCCAGTCGAGACACAAGATGTTGAAAAATAAACTTGACCTGTGCAAAGACGCAGAGTGAGATAAAAAAGCTGAAATAAAAACAAAAAGTCAGGTAAAAAGATGGCAGCACTGTGTCTAATTAGACTCCAGATGAAAATCTGGAGTCTATTGCTTTCGTCAGTTTTCTTTATTATTATTAGACTCCAGATGAAATCTGGAGTCTATTGTTTTCGTCAGTTTTCTTATTATTATTATTAGACTCCAGATTGAAAATCTGGAGTCTATTGTTTTCGTCAGTTTTCTTATTAGACTCCAGATGAAATCTGGAGTCTATTGTTTTCGTCAGTTTTCTTATTCTTCTTATTAGACTCCAGATGAAATCTGGAGTCTATTGTTTTCGTCAGTTTTCTTATTATTCTTTTTCTTCTTCTTCTTCTTATTAGACTCCAGATGAAATCTGGAGTCTATTGTTTTCGTCAGTTTTCTTATTAGACTCCAGATGAAATCTGGAGTCTATTGTTTTCGTCAGTTTTCTTATTCTTCTTATTATTCTTTTTATTATTCTTATTCTAACCCAGTTTTCTCAATAACCATAAGGTTTTCAGTAAAGTCAGTCATTTGGTCAATTTAGGTCCAGAATCTAGTTCCTCGGAAATTGGGTCAAATTTTTATCTAGGTCAAAGGTCAAGAACTAGGTCAAATCCAGTACTTTGTCACTTTTTTCGATTTTCTCGGTCGTCCTTCAATATTTTTGATCGAGGTTTTTTTCATTGTGTTCCTTATAAAAAAGTAGAAAATCTAGGGTCGATTTAGTTTTTTGATATCTCAAACCGATTTCGAGATATCAGTGTCCGAAAACGAGGTCCAAATAAAAGTTATCCGAATCAAATGTCCAGGATATTAGTCTTATAGGAAATTTTCTCAGGATTCCGAATCTGAAAACGAAATTTGGATCTGACTTCCGGTTCGGAAGTTATGGCGTTTTGAAAACTCAAAAATCGCTAAATTTGGTGCCCATGTTAAGTCAATGGGAAAAAATATTTTTTTGAAGTGAAAAATACGGAATATAGACTGAGTTCAGCTTCATATAATCAAAGCCTTTAGAAGAAGGGGACCTCAAAAGACATCTAGCTTCACAATTTGGACACCGAAATGCCTAGGTCAAAATCTAGGTCAAATTCATAGGTTTTCCTTATTTTTTCGATTCTGACACTACACTTTAATCATTTTCTTCGAAATTGTGTATACATGTAGCCAAGAATATGCTAATAGTGTTAGCCTTTTGCCGTCAGAAAGTATTTTGACCCACTTTTGAGATATGGTGTCCGAAAAGTAGGTCAAAATAAAAAGTTCTCCAAATTTGACGTTTGAGTTATGAATTAAGTATAGAATTTTCTCAGGAATCCGAATCTGCAAACCAAATTTCGATCCGACTTCCGGTTCGGAAGTTATGGCGTGTCCGAAAAGTAGGTCAAAATAAAAAAGCTCCAAATTTAACGTATGAGTTATGAATTAAGTATAGAATTTTCTCAGGAATCCGAATCTGTAAACCAAATTTCGATCAGACTTCCGGTCCAGAAGTTATGGCGTTTTGAAATTTCAAGAAAAATCGATCTGATGGTATCCTGATAGAAAGTCAAGAGTAGAGAAGAAAATATTGAAAAATGCATCCATCCTTCCTTTCTGATCCTATCCTATCCTTCCTATCTACCATTGCTTCGTATCCTCTCCTTCCTATCCTTCCTATTCTATCCCTTCTTTCTATTCTATTCTATCCTTCTTTCCTATTCTATCCTATCGTTCCTTCCTATTCTATCCTATACTTCCTTCCTTTTTCATCCATCCATCCATCCATCTTTTGCTGGATGACTTAGCTTATTTTGGATGACTTGGCTTATTCTGGATGACTCGGCTAAAAAAAAGTCTAGATCTGGAGTCTGAAATTGAACTCGTTCAATTTCCAAAATCTAGTTATTATTATTAGACTCCAGATGAAATCTGGAGTCTATTGTTTTCGTCAGTTTTCTTATTATTCTTTTTCTTCTTCTTCTTCTTCTTATTATTAGACTCCAGATGAAATCTGGAGTCTATTGTTTTCGTCAGTTTTCTTATTCTTATTAGACTCCAGATGAAATCTGGAGTCTATTGTTTTCGTCAGTTTTCTTATTCTTCTTATTCTTATTATTCTTATTATTCTAAACCAGTTTTCTCAATAACCATAAGGTTTTCAGTAAAGTCAGTCATTTGGTCAATTTAGGTCCAGAATTTAGTTCCTCGGAAATTGGGTCAAATTTTTATCTAGGTCAAAGGTCAAGAACTAGGTCAAATCCAGTACTTTGTCACTTTTTTCGATTTTCTCTGTCGTCCTTCAATATTTTCGATCCGGGTTTTTTTCATTGTGTTCCTTATAAAAAAGTAGAAAACCTAGATTCGTTTTAGTTTTTTGATATCTCAAACCGATTTCGAGATATCAGTGTCCGAAAACGAGGTCCAAAAAAAAGTTCTCCGAATCAAATGTCCAGGATAATAGTCTTATAGGAAATTTTCTGAGGATTCCGAATCTGAAAACGAAATTTGGATCTGACTTCCAGTTCGGAAGTTATGGCGTTTTGAAAACTCAAAAATCGCTAAATTTGGTGCCCAAGTTAAGTCAATGGGAAAAATTATTTTTTTGAAGTGAAAAATACGGAATATAGACTGAGTTCAGCTTCATATAATCAAAGCCTTTAAAAGAAGGGGACCTCAAAAGCCATCTAGCTTCACAATTTGGACACCGAAATGCCTAGGTCAAAATCTAGGTCAAATTCATAGGTTTTCCTTATTTTTTTCGATTCTGACACTACACTTTAATTATATTCTTCGAAATTGTGTATACATGTAGCCAAGAATATGCTAATAGTGTTAGTCTTTTGCCGTCAGAAAGTATTTTGACCCACTTTTGAGATATGGTGTCCGAAAAGTAGGTCAAAATAAAAAGTTCTCCAAATTGAATATATGAGTTATGAATTAAGGGTAGAATTTTGTCAGGAATCCGAATCTGCAAACCAAATTTCAATCCGATTTCCGGTTCGGAAGTTATGGCGTGTCCGAAAAGTAGGTCAAAATAAAAAATCTCCAAATTTAACGTATGAGTTATGAATTAGGAGTAGAATTTTGTCAGGAATCCGAATCTGCAAACCAAATTTCGATCCGACTTCCGGTTCGGAAGTGATAGCGTTTTGAAATTTCGAGAAAAATCGATCTGATGGTATCCTGATAGAAAGTCAAGAGTAGAGAAGAAAATATTGAAAAATTCATCCATCCTCCTATCTCATCCTACCCTATCCTTCCTATCTATCCTTCCTTCATATCTTTTCCTTCCTATCCTTCCTATCCTATCCTATCCTATCTTATCCTATCCTTTCTTCCTATTCTATTCTATCCTATCCTTCTTTCTTATTCTA